TATTGAATCTTAAATCTAAGGAGGAAATAAGATAAAAGTCTCAAACTTATCCAAATAAAAGACCTCTTTAGGAAAGAACGGTCAAAAAGATTAGAAGGCCATATTAAATATTTTATATATTATTTTTTTAAATTGAAAACACATAACTGAAGCTCATAATTGAATAATGTCCAATAAATAAGTTTACGTAATCATTTGCAACTGAATGAGAAACTGTGAGCTTGTTTACTTTTTCATTCAAACCTGAGAGAAATCACGAACACGCGTATTTCTTGATCTACAGAAAGATGTAGCGCACTTGATCTTCTCACAGATGTAGTAAATTCCTTTCCGAAGTTGAAGTTGAAGTTGAATGTTGTTGAATGAAGTTGTTTGATCCGAAGTTGTTGAATATTGAAATGGTACTCATGTGACTTGCCCAGATATCATTGAAATCTCTTTGTCAGAAATTTGCACGGTTCATGGACTTTCGTGAATTTCACGACCTTTCTGGTCTTCTTCCAGTTGGCAAAAGTATAAGAAATTCCTCTAAAGCAAGTAGAATTGATTTCGTATTATCAGCAGTCCGCTGACTTCCGTATAGCGAAACTGATTGCCGCCAGCCAAAAGCGTTTGAGAACCCCTGCTCCAGCGCAACTCTCAGCGAAGTGATAAGCACGTGACCTCCTGTTCTCGGCCCTCAGATGCCAATCTCAATTCCCGGCGCTGAAAGAATCACGATCGCTATTTTGCATAAGCAATGAGTAGGTTGACTAATGACAAATCTGAAAGTACGTATCTGATGCTGCAATATGAATTAATTGTTGAGCTTGTATGTTTCGTGGAAATAACACATCAACCATTTATTTGATATGTTGATTTATTCTCAATTGCTCTACTTAATCTCGAGGGTTACTCAGGCTGCTGTTGCTCCGGGTAACAACTGTTGCCACTGTAGTGTCTCTGACTAGGTTTCAGTCCCAACACTGGTGGATTTGTGGCTGAGTAGAGAGCTAGGAAGAATTCGAGAGTTGTCTGGAGAAGAAATCTAGCGGCCGGCTGTTCTGATCGGTAGTTTTCCGTGATATCTCCGTTAAAAACCAAGCGAATGCCGGAGCAATACCTTCAAAATGAGCCACAAGCAGCTCGTGATATTTCCGTCTTTAACTTTGACCCCTCCTCTTCCCTAACAAACACATTTGCACTTAATAATAATAATATTTATTTGGCTACAATTGGCTGATTGCCTACTAGTAGCTACCTGGTAGCTACAACCCTACAGTTTTACAATATATGAACATTTATAATACAAAAACAATTTACCATATAAAAACAATT